CAGGAAGTGAGGCACTCGCCGGTGTTGTACCGAAAAAAGTACCCCTTATCACAGAAATGCGTTTCAAGCACTTGTTTTTGCACGGATAAAAGTTAAAATTGACCAAATGAACAGTTATTTTTAATACTATTGAGGACCCAATTGTCTGTCGTTACTTATTTATGGCATATCTTTAGGGACGCCTTTTGACTGAGCGAGTTACTTTTTTAGCACAACACCGGTATTAACGGGGGTGTGGTTGGCAGCTGATTCTGAATACTGTCAGTGCTTTCGCCTTTTAATTTTTTGTGCTTAATACTTCGTTACGGTATCGTTCAATACGTATTCAAGGTGAACCAAGTATTAAGTCGGATAAAATAGTATTTTAGCCTAACGTTATTAGCCGCTGTTTGTTAAACTTAGTCGCTTAACCTGTTTGTTTTGTAGAGTTCGCTGTAGCACCGCGCTAGCTAGCTAGCTAGCTGATGCTAACCGTGAGCATAGCTAGTAGCTAATCAGGAGGATCCCACTTTTCTTATTTAAACAAAGCTGACTTTTGTGCTGACCATCTCAGGACATTGATCGCAAAAGTATCAACAGCCAGGGCAGAAAATWATGATGTCGCTGACAGAGGACGAGTGGCCCTGAGAACTGATCCTGTCAAATGAGTTAGCGAAAATGTCCTGCAAGTCAACCAAAGTGGCTCCGAGTGTAGATTTTGACCACAGCTGCTCTGATAGCGTGGAGTATTTGACGCTTAATTTTGGTCCTTTTGAAACTGTTCATCGCTGGAGAAGACTCCCTCCCTGTGATGAGTTTGTTGGAGCAAGGTAACACTGGCAGATTTAGCACTTCCTGATTGTTTACTTGTGTTTAAGCTTGAGAGTTTTTTTTTTTTAAGCTTGAGAGTTGTTTATCTTCACACAGGCGCAGCAAACACACTGTTGTGGCTTACAGGGATGCCATATACGTGTTTGGAGGAGACAATGGGTGAGGGCTTTGTTTCTTTTTTAACTGTTTTTCTCTCTTTTTGTACACTACAATTACAATTACAGCTTTATTCCCTTTACAGTAAGAACATGCTGAATGATTTGCTTCGTTTTGATGTAAAGGACTGCTCCTGGTGTCGGTAAGGCTGCAGCCGCAGCAATAAAATCACACACTTTGACTGCAAAATTGGATTGAACGCCTGTTCATGTGTTTTGTAGAGCTTTCACTACTGGAACACCCCCTGCTCCTAGATATCACCACTCAGCTGTGGTCTACGGCAGCAGCATGTTTGTCTTTGGTACGTCGGTCTTATTGTAGACTTTAGAAAATATGCACGTACAGTATCTCTATAATTTGTAAAGTGACATTATGTAAAAACATTTTTCAGGGGGCTACACTGGTGACATCTATTCAAATTCAAACCTGAAAAACAAAAATGACCTTTTTGAGTACAAGTTTGCAACTGGACAGTGGACTGAATGGAAAGTGGAGGGAAGGTATTGTATATATTTATGTTTTGTTTCACGCTCGCCACTTTGCAATCAAACTACTTTTGTCATTTATCAGTCTTGTGATGGTTTCAGCTTGCCAGTGGCCCGATCTGCTCACGGAGCTACAGTCTACAACGACAAGCTGTGGATATTTGCTGGCTATGACGGGAATGCCAGGTATGTTTGATCATGTCTTCTTCTGGTAACACCTACACATTGATTTCTGTGCTAAATCTGACCTTCATAATGTTTTTCCATTGGTGTTCAGGCTGAATGACATGTGGACCATCAGTCTGCAGGACCGAGAACATGCATGCTGGGAAGAGGCCAGTTAAATTCACGAATCTCTTAAAGTAAATCTTGCAGAAAGACTTATTAATTTGTTTCATCCTCTTTGGGTTTTGGGTCYACCAGATTGATCAGAGTGGTGAGATTCCTCCATCTTGCTGCAACTTCCCTGTAGCTGTGTGCAGGGATAAGATGTTTGTGTTTTCCGGTCAGAGCGGTGCCAAGATCACCAATAACCTCTTTCAGTTTGAGTTCAAAGGCCACATGTGCGTGAAACCCTTCCTTCCTTACAAAGCTTTGTTATTGATAGTGTATACAGCACAAAAGGTTGCATGTAATTTATGCATTAATTTTTCTCAGGTGGACCCGTATCCCAACAGAACATTTGCTGCGGGGCTCTCCTCCACCTCCGCAGAGACGTTACGGACACACCATGGTTGCCTTTGACCGCCACCTGTATGTGTTTGGAGGCGCTGCTGACAACACGCTGCCCAATGAGCTGCACTGTTACGATGTGGACTCTCAGACCTGGGAGGTGATCCAACCCAGCCTCGACAGTGAGGTACAAACAAAAAACATGTTTGCTCTTGACTTTTATTCCTTTTGCTCCCTTGTATACCGTTACATGTCAGCGTCATGTTTTTCTGTAATGGCAGATGTCTTTTCATCCAGAATAAGTTATTTAAACCTTGCTGATAAACAATCAGAAGCAGATATTTTTCCTTCTTTCACCTTTAGATGCCAAGTGGGAGGCTCTTCCACGCTGCGGCTGTGATTCAAGATGCCATGTACATCTTTGGGGGGACTGTGGACAACAATGTGCGCAGCGGGGAAATGTACAGATTCCAGGTTGGTGTGAATGATTGCAGATAACGTATCAAAGTGTGTGTTTTCTGTAATTTAGACAAAAAATACGTTTAAATACAAGATCACAGACTACTGTTGCAATGTTGATTTTGCAGTTCTCAAGCTACCCTAAATGCACCCTTCATGAGGATTATGGGAAACTGTGGGAGAACCGTCAGTTCTGCGATGTGGAGTTTATTCTGGGCGAGGTGGGTTTTTATTGCTCAGTGCTTTTAAACGGCTAAAAAAATGTTGTGATGGAAGTTACTTTGTCATGGTCCACCTACCATTTTCCATACCCGTTTTGTTGTTTACAGAGGGAGGAGAGAGTCTTGGGGCATATTGCCATAGTGACTGCAAGGTGTCAGTGGCTGCGGAAGAAAATCCTGCAGGCTCGGGATAGGCAGAAACAGGTCAGAGCCATGCATGTTCCCCGAGACTGCAGCAGTGTCAGAGGATATCTTTTATTTCACACAATGGTCTTATTGTATTTACCTACGCCCCAGATTCATTATCACTGCTCAGATTTTGATCAAGTTCTTAAAAGGTCCAGACGAGTGTACCAGTTTAGAAACAATACCCCTGTGCCTCCTGTCACATGCTGCAGTATGTGAACCTTTGGGTCACGTTATTGTTATAATTTAGTGTTAGCCCCGGTAGCATTGTTTAAACACTGAAAGTGAACTAATTCATGTTTAACTTTATAAAAAACAAAAAGAAACAGAAAAGTTTCTATTTAAAACAACTCTCTTATAAACAGTTCTGAAAGACAAACAAGAAAAGCTAATTTGCTTCTTTTTTCTTTTCTTTTTTTTTTTGAACAGGAAAATCTCAGCAGCGTAATAATGAATTTCTGGGTCTCTTATTTAAACAAGCATTAACCATTCGTGTAGCTACAGTTCAGAATCATCACAGCCAACGTAAACATATCAGTAGGAGTTCAGTGGGATCCAATGGGGTCATGAAACATGGTAGATAATTTGTTGTCTTGTAGAGGACCAAACGGGAGAGCAGTGAGGAAAGCGACGAGGGAGCAGCTGGAGGCCCGAGGGATATCCCAACAGGCAATAGGCCTTCGGGCACGCAGCCCTTGCTGGAAGTATCCATCAGGGAAGCAGAAGCCCAGCCTTTTGAAGTACTAATGCAGTTTCTCTACACAGACAAAATCCAGTATCCCCGCAGAGGTATACCTGTCTACTAATAGCTCTCAGGTGACCTCTACGTTGGGAAACCTTCATCCTCATCCTCTTTGCTCACGCAGGTCACGTCCAAGATGTCCTTCTGATTATGGATGTGTACAAACTTGCACTGAGTTTTAAGCTTTCTCGGCTGGAGCAGCTTTGCGTTCAGTACATCGAGGCCTCTGTGGATCTGCAGAACGTTCTTAGTGTTTGTGAGAATGCCAACAAGCTGCAGCTGGACCAGCTCAAGGTACACCTCAGAGCATCAGCTGTAAATGTTGCTTTCACTGACCTCTAGTGGTTGTAGGTCAGAATGTCTCTGTGAGTTTACAGAACTCGCAGCTTTACATGAAGTTATTCTGTAAGATTTAAGAGTTTCGCAAAGTTAAACGACTAACTTGAAGACCTCTTTGTTTTTCAGGAGCACTGTCTTAACTTTGTGGTGAAGGAATCACACTTTAACCAGGTGATCATGACAAAAGAGTTTGAGCTCCTTTCCACCCCRCTGATTGTGGAGATAGTGCGTCGAAAGCAGCAGCCTCCCCCCAGAGTGTATTCAGACCAGCCTGTGGATATTGGAACCTCCCTTGTCCAGGACATGAAAGCCTACCTGGAGGGGGGCGGTCTGGAGTTCTGTGATATCATTCTGCTCTTAGACGGACACCCACGCCCTGCACATAAAGCAATACTGGCAGCCCGATCCAGGTAGTTACAATAGGGATTCTGTTTGTAGGTTTCTGGTGATTGTAGTCTTGTCCAGTTGATGATTTTCTGATGCTGATTTTTCACAGTTACTTCGAGGCGATGTTTCGCTCCTTCATGCCAGAGGACGGTCAGGTAAATATATCCATTGGTGAAATGGTCCCAAGTAAACAGGCATTTGAGTCTATGCTGCGTTATATCTACTACGGTGACGTCAACATGCCTCCAGAGGATTCTCTGTATCCTTCTCAAACAACTAAAGGGAGGTATTGAAGAAATTTATTGGGGTTTGCTTATATACTGGTCTTAATTAAACTACACATGGTATGGTCTTATTATTAGTAGAACTGTAATAATTATTAAATGTGACTATTTAGCTTAAATTGATGATTTTATATGCCTGAACACAAATTGAACACATAACTGAAATGTTAATCTGCATTAAAGTAGATTATTATTGTCTGGAGGCATGACTCAAGCGGGTTAAGAAGCCCTTCCTGATGATGTAATAAAGTAGGCGGAGTCATGTCTCTGTGTGTGGTTGTATGCACTCTTTTCTATTCAATTTCCATGCATTGGTACATTTCTGGTGTGGTTCAAGCACATAATTTGGTAAATGAACACGCTTAACAATATTATCGTATTATATGTATTTTCCAGGCAAATAGTTCCACTTCTAGCCTGGCCCTTGCCTTCCTACGCAGCTCCACTCAATTCTAGTTTCCCTTCACTGCTCTGTCTGGGATTTCTCCCAATGACAAGGATTTCGCTGGCAGATTTTTAGCCGGGCCAATCAGAGAAGAGAACGTCAATTTTCTGCACAGTGTCTGCTTGTAGTTTATTTTAYCKGGSCCAATCAGCAAACAGAAGGAGGAGTTTTGAATGACGTCGATGTTCTGCGCAGTGTCTGCTAGTTATTTTAGCATACGACAGTGGAGGAAGTGAATGAAGCCAGTCCGTGTTGATAAGGCTTCCAAATTAAAATAAATTTGTCTGACAAAGCAGCAGTTCTCATTTACAGTCGTCTCGTTCGGCTCGGTACTTTTCTCCTCTCAGCAGGGTTGTTTACAGCACATGCGATTTCCGGTTAGCTTCTTAGCTTAGCCTCCTTCACAGCGGCATACGTCGCAGCCAACTGATCCAATCATTTTAAACTTCAGCAGAGGCCACGCCTCCTGCAAGAAATCGATTCTCTGTGCATCAAGTCCAGACCCTTGTACAAAGCAAAGTGAAGGACAGGGTCTGGTTTTAACCAGGCTASTTCACTTCTATACCACAATCAAGTAACTATCTAAACGACTTGAAATTGGCCTCTGGCTCTTTAAAAAATCTTGACTTCAGCCTGAGCTCCATGGAGGCGCTTTGTTTATATATACAAGATGGATGTGCTTTGTACCAGTAAGTGTTTAGCTAGCTCCACATGACTACCACAGCAGATTCAAGGTTTTCTCAGACATGCAAAAAGGAGTTAAAGCAACACTCTGGGTATGTTTTTGATGAGGGACTGACATTATAACATGATATAAAGCTCAAAAAGTCAATTTTGCTGAATGCCCTCCTCTTTAAAACAGTTAAACTTTTATTCTAATCCCAAAACATACATTTTTTGTAATCCTGTTAGTTCAAATTCTCAAAACATTAGTTCTTCTCCAGCAAAGTCATTGTTATCAAAATAAGAACAGTTGGCCCATCAGAAAAGAGCTCAGTCATCATGTAGAGTTGCATGTACAAAACTTTTTTAATAGTATTTCCTTGACCCTTGATAAACAGCTATTTGTTTGCTGCACCATATTATTATGGCTTCTCCAACAATAGGCTGCAGGCGTACTGTAAGCAGAACCTGGAGATGAACGTCACTGTGGAAAATGTCTTGCAGGTATTTATATTTTTCACTGCGGGAGCACGGTGACCTAATTGGACCACGCTGTTGTTTTCCTGCAGAATGATAATTGTCTTCTCTCCCTTCAGATTCTGGAGGCAGCAGACAAGACCCAGGCTCTGGACATGAAGAAGCACTGCCTCCACATWATTGTCCACCAGTTCATCAAGGTGGGTGGGTTTGTATCCGGAGCTCTGGGGGTGTGCTGCCCACTCACTGCAGCTGAGCTAACCCTCTAGTCCCGTTCTCGTTGCGGGGAAACTGGCTCCTTTGACCCCTCTGTGAAGCTCCCTTCATGTTGTACATGGAGTGTTTACAGCTTGGCCGGCTGTGTAAGCACCTCATCACAGAACGATGAGGGTCACAGTGGCACTCTCATTATTGTTTGTTATCCAAAGAAACAGTGAAGCACTCAATTTTCACTTTGCTTCACTGAAGTGTTAGCTCTGCGCTCAGTGTTTCTGTTTAGCTTTTGCTCTTTGTGCTATTGCCATTTCTCTGCATGCACAATCAACAGCTTCTTATAACCCGTTTCAGTCGGACTTGTCTTAAATTTTTTTCATAGCTCATTTTTTTCCATTTTATTTATTTTTGTTTTCCTCCCCTCCCAAAGGTATCCAAGCTTCCCAACCTGCGGTCTCTCAGCCAGCTGCTGCTGTTGGACATCATTGAGTCTCTAGCTACGCACATATCAGATAAACAGTGTGCCGAGATGTGCTCTGACATTTAGGATCACTCAGAGTGGAGCTCTTTTCTCTCTGTTAGAAGCCATAATTATCCTGTACATACTTCTATACATTCCCTCCCTGTTTTTTTTAACCCTTGCATGTCAGACTCATGTTCAATAGAGGTCTTTTACCCTCAGCACTCATGGTTCACTGTACGTTTCAATCAGCACTGAAGAATCTTGCTTAGAAACTTTCTTGTAAAAATCTCTTTTTATATTCTTTGTCATTTTTTTTGTATGCACAACAAACAAGCAAGGTTTTTCTCTGATTGGACTCTAGCATTTCTTTAAATTATATAATTTTACTTGTCTTAGAGATGTTTAAATGATGTTTTAAGGCTGGTCATCAGATTATTTCTTTTATTTAAATACACGTACCCCATTTAATGCATAACTATGTAAAACTACTTGTGTTATTCTTATTCATGAGACACTTTCTAAGTCTGGATTAAATGTAAGGAGTCTAAGATGTCATCTGGAAAGTATTAGAATGTGTAGCATTTGTGTCATCAGATGAAGATTGTTACTTTTGCTAAWTACATTTTCATTCATACAACACACTAATGTGTGATAGTATCATCAGTGTTAAAAATCATGTACCATCATGGGTTTTACATATTCAGATCCTTAATAAAGTTAACTAAAATCAGTTTATTTGCTTGTCTGTTATTATTTTGAAAGGGAAATGTTTCATTACCACAGACTTTATTCACCTTCTGACAGGTGACTTTATTCTCTGACACCATCTAATCTTCCTGAATCAAAGTTTAGTCTTGTGTAAATCCATTGGCCCAACAGCAGTTCAGAATTTGTTGTTGCTGGAAAATATTTCTCTTAATTTGAAAATGATGCTTTAAAGTAAGTTTTGAAAGATGACATGTTAACATCCTTCCGAGAAACTTCCTAGTGAAATTTTAACTTTTATATTTTAATACCCACGCCTTCCTAAAATAGTTGCACAAGTCATTTTTCCCCCTCACGTTTAAAGGGGCAATATCATGTAAAATAAACTTTTTTGAGTTTTATATCATGTTATAATGTTATACTCTCATAAAAAA